CGTACTCCTCGGCCTTTTTTATCATCGCAACTTTACCCGCCTTGGTCTTTTCTAGCTTGGCATGAACCGCATCTCTGTGGCGGATGAGCTTGGAGATGTGCTTGGTTTGGTCGCTAAGGGTCCTCTCGACCTTAAGGATGTGGTCATCCTTAGCAGCTACGGCTCACTCGGGATTCTTCGCCTCTTGTTTATATTCCCAAAAATGTTCGATTATGGCCCCCACCTGCTGTCTGCCCTGAAAAAGGAGGAATATTACGGAACAACCAAAATAGTGCGAGGAACACTTGAGAAAGTGTTAAACTTACCACCAGATTATTTTGGATAGTGCTCATCAGAAGTCGATTGTCCGAATAACCTTTGTACACGGCCATATCGGCATCAAATTAAAGTGTCCTCGCAATGCCAAATGCCACTTCGGGGGACTGGAGGATCGAGTCAGCTTCTAAAATAGGGCGGTCGCTCCTAGTCTCGGCCCGAGGGACCCACTCGCTCGAGACAGATAGGCTCAGGGCCGGGGCGTCATGTCGTCGCTTAACATAACGCTCCTCAGATTGTTCGACATCCCAGGCATTCCTGTCCCTCAGCCAGTCTCTCGGAGCAGGGACTTGTTGAGATTGGGGCCTTTGCCTGGTTGGCACGGTCGGGTGCCTGGATGGTTACGTACACGGCGGCGGCGGTGGCAGTGGCGGCGGTTGCCTCCAAGGAGAACTAGGCGAGGGGATGATGGGGGCAGTGTTGGAAGGCCCGGCCAGCCCAGTGAGCCTGGCTCTCCTTGCCACGACGACGACCTCCATTATAGTAGCGGTGACTGGTGATGGATTAAACATGTCAGGCGCAAGGGGCTCGGGAGCGTGATGATCAGACTGTTCTTTGGAATCTTCCTCGAATTCTTTCTCTTCCGACGAGGAATGGTCTTCCCAAACAGAAGGGTTGAAAGGAGGTGGGATCTGGGAGAATCGGCTGTAAGTCGGCGTGTAGCCGAGGAGAGTATGCGTCGTTCTCGCTCAACTAGGTTCAAGGACCAAACCCTTAGCTGGTTGGCAAACCGAACTTGGGACCTCAACGATTGAGCGGCATCCCGGCGATATCCTTCTGCAAAAGTAAAGCAAAATCAGTGCATGCCTCGGACCCAAGAATAGCAAAATCAAGAAGTCGGAAAGAAAATACACCTTCATCCCTCGGCACTTTGGGACAGTACAATCCGTCATACTCGGGTCCAGTCCCTTTCTCCCAACTTCTGCTGAGCATGATCAGATCGTCTACATACCCCTTGTCCGAGTCGGATATGTGAGTTACCAAATACATTGAGGCGTCTCGAGCCTGGAGGTAATATCGTCCCCCGGTGATTAGCCTCAGGTCGTAGCAGAATAAAATTTCATCTACTCCTAAGTTGGTCCCCAGCCGAGCGTTTGAGGCGACTACGCCCCATCACAATCCTAAAGAAGTTAATCCCACATTGAAGGGAAAAGAGCTTCAGTTGCATCAACACTCCCAGCAACAGGGGATAGAGGGGGAAGGTCAACCCTCCCTCCATGATGGCTTTCATCCAGAAAGGCATCATGTCCATATTTTTCATATCCCTCCTATGGTGAGTGGGGTTGAAGGGGAAAAGCGAAGACAGGCTCACGGATGTGGTACCTAATCCTAAAAGCTTGAATATTCTCATCGGTCACTTGGGTTCTCCTCATCTTGTGGGTAGTCCTAGCCCTAACAGACGTCTCCCCCTTGGTTCTACTAGTTTTAGCCATTGGTGGGCGCTAAAAGGACGAAATGTAGCAAAAATGAAGAGAGAAAAAGCTCTAGTGAAAGTACTTACAGGAAGGTAGTCTTCAAAGAGATAGCTTGGAGGACGAAGGAAACTCGAAGGAGAACAGAGGAGCACTCGAGGTCTGATTGTTGAAGAGAGGTTGAGGATGCAAAAGTTCTGAGAAGGTATGAAAACCTTCTATTTATATTGTCTCACAGGGAACGGGAATCAAAAAATTTGGTCATCATTAGGGCGTTTGAAAAGGGCGGCACCAGACATGCAAGTAATCGTCGCTATTAATAAAGCGTGATGAGGGAGCACCCAATCCCTTTACCCCACTTGTCTTACACTGCGAAAAGATGGCGGCTGGGGGGCAGTTGGCGGGACTCTAGGTGGCTCTACAACCCTCGGGTCGACACATGGAATAATGAAGCCGTTGGGATGTCCAGAGGGTGCCGAGGAAGTAAACCGAGGTATGGTGACACTGAACAGCCGGGTACGACAGCTGTCATCGTATTTAATGCGATGTGACCCTTCATTTATGACGGAATGAGTGAAAGTGACAAGACAAATAGATGCGAGCCTGCCAGCACCTGCCCTCTGGGAGTCTAAGTCTACTGTCATGATGGCTAAGCATTAATGGCTGATGCGCCGAGATGACGTGATCAGCTCCCCCGAGGAACTGTTTCCCCCAGAGTATTCAATGCTTAGTTGATGTCGGATGTCGAGCTGGGGGATTTGGGTACTCGGGGAGTGGCATGAATGCTCGGTATTTGGCCGAGCATTTACCTAATTTTTCTAGCATTCAATTGGAGGAGACGTGAGTAGAAAACACTCATTGCACGAAGAATGGTGTGTCAGATGTAAGATGTTCAGATGAGACTAGAGATCTTTGACAATTATTGTTAGTTCAGGTATAAATACTCCTCAAAAAAATAGACAAAGGTACTCAAACTTGAATCAGAAAAATAGTTCATTGAACAAAACCCTTCGAATTTATACTGATTTAAGTTTCGGAGGGGATTAGCCGGGCGCTCACCTGACCCTCTTTTTTTTGAACTTGTTATTTTAGGTTCACTAATTTAAAGATCGCTTGTCTCATACTATTACAAGAATTATCCGGTGCAATAACAATCCATGGAAATGGGAAGAGCGTTAAAGCCGTGGTGGTTGATGAGTGTGACTCGACTATGGGTTGTGATGTTGATCATGCGTACCAGCCACCATGCGCGAATAACATTGTGGACGCCTCAGCAGCAGTTTGGAGTGCTCTGGGTGTGCCCGACAGTGAAGGGGGTGGATGGATATCTTCTGGTCTGAATAAGCTGGGGGTACCATCGCGAGTGATATATTATTTCGAAATGTTTTGAGATATTTGATATATTTTTATCAATACCTTTTGGAATATTTTAAATTGTTTTAAAATATTTTTGGCATTTTTTTGACTAATATTTTAAGAATAATTAGTAATTTTTATTCTATTTCTGAAATATTTTCGTATTAAAATAATCTATTAAAATAAAATTTTGATCATTGCTTATATAGTAGGTTGAAATAAAATTGAATGAATTTTATTTTTAATTAGTGAATATAGACGGGATGGGTTTAGTAGCTAATGAAATAGGTATAGATGGATTGAACTTCTTAGTTTGAAATAAGATGATTAATTAGGGTGAGAAATGAGATTTAAGGAATGGGTGAATGATCCCATTCAATTTTTTAATACAAAAGTTTCCAAGTACTTAAAACGATATTCAAAGATAAAGATATAATAAAATAAATAATTTTGACATATCGGTTAGGGTTCGTTTGTTTAAGAAGAAAATAATGATGACAAGTAAAAACGATAGAAAGTGAAGTGAAAAAAAAAAACATGAAAGAAAAAATATTTTTCATGCATGTATTTAGTTAGATTGAAAAACTTGCAAGAAAGTTTTTAAAAAAATTCATTTTATTGTTTGAAAGAATGGACAATTACAAAAAAGAATTTTAATTGTCTAAATTATCCTTAATTATATTAGATTAGTCAAAAGGAAAAAAAATATGTATTATAATTAAAAGTTAAAATTTTTTAAAATAGTGGCTCGTAACCTAATTTTGAGACAAGTATCAATACGAAGATCTTTAAGTCAAATTATATGGTTAACCAAATTCTTACCACGATTTTTTAAAATTAATAGCTAATAAAATATTTTAAAAAAAATAAAGACAAAATGAGAAGTTAGTTATAAATCAAAATTTTATTGCATTTACTTGTGTTTTTAACAAGAAAAAAAAGCTGGTTAGTTGAAAAAATATCTAAGTATAAAAAAAATTATTTTTTATTTCATGCTAATCAAACATATAAAAAATTTAAAAATTTTCTCCTTCTTACATTTTCTAACATAATTTCACTAAACAAATTGACCCTTAGGAGTACAATTAGTTGGAGATGTCAAAATCTACGTGTCAAAATATCACATAAACCTTTTACTTTAATTATTTTTTTGAACAAACTTTTAATTTAAATTTGACATCTCCATTTGGAAATACTCTTAACAACCTCGAAGACGGCCCAAATTACGAAATTATCCTTGGATTAGCAATTCCCATTTTTTTTTTAACAAGACCCATTGGGATCCAACCATATAACTGCACTGAATGTCTACTTGTCACACATCTGTGAGAGAGAGAGAGAGAGAGAGAGAGAGAGAGAGAGGAGTAAACATTGAGTTTAATGGTGACACCACATTATCTTTAATATATGATATCATCATACAAGATTATTACTATAATATGTGAGATCCACGGCCCACCTATTTATTTATTATATTTTTACTAAATATTAACACCACGTGACAGTGACAATAATAACGTGATATCACCATTACTCTCAATATTCTTTCCAGAGAGAGACAGACTCAGCAAGGAAGCATCATCTGTCAGGCATTTGAAATGAAAATATAGGTCTCGGGTTGTAACGTTTTTTTAAGTACTCTCTCTTTTTCTACTTATTTACAGATTTTCACAAACTCACAATATCGAGCAGTATATCACTTACCCGGGAGGAGTCGGATGATGCAATCTCAAATTTATAGGGAAAACAGACACACACACACACTAATATCACATTCTCAACCAGTCAAAAGTATATTAATAGTACATTTTTCCAACTCTCATACAGGTTTCAAGGCTAGAAATCATGCAGACATGCTGATAGTAGTTCATATTCAAGAACATGTCGGTTTATTTATGCTAAAACTGTTCCCTGGACCTAAGCAATTCCCAGCAGTTTCTTTATATCCTTCTGCAAATAGAAGAAAAAACAGGAGGCGGATGAGTCCAGCGCCTAACCTATACAAGGCTTCCGAGCTAGCTAAAGCCTAAACAATGTTGAATAATTGAAGTAATAGCATAAATGGTTTTACCTCGACGCCAAGAGGAGAAGTAGTGGGAGCATAGCGATCGACAACATTCCCCTCTTTATCAACCAGGAATTTGGAGAAGTTCCATTTGATACCGTCTCCAAAAATTCCTCCTTTGCTCGACTTCAGGAACTTGTATAATGGAGCAGCATTTGAACCATTGACGTCAATCTAGTTTGTCAACAAACAAATATAAGCTGTTGTCCAGTTACCCTATTAACATGAGAACATGTAAGAGTTTGCTGACTGCATTACAGCAAATATGAAGGTCCTACGACACATTGATGAAGGTTTAACAAATTTGCATGGTTTTGGTGTGAACTTATTTCTATAACTATCATTGAAATTTATGTGTCATTAACATAAATATATGAAAAGCATTCTACTCGACAATCACCCCTCCCCCCCGGTTCTTCTTTTCAAACCAACCCTCAGGGACCTGGACCCAAAGCACAAAGTCAAGAAGAACAAGGTCTGTAGTAACAAAGCTGAAAGCTTTACTCGGTCTTCTTAACCAATTAACCAAAAGAATGGATAAGAAGATCTGTTGGCAGTTGGCTGTTTCAACTTTTACAAACATTAGTAGTTCATCGTGAGGCTAGTGATTCATTCCATGTGTTGAAAGGTTTGGATTTGAGTTTTTTCCTAAGATATCATGATGCGCACGCACGCACGCATGCATGAGAACAAAAACAGTTGTCACTATTTTTGCAGCAGAGCATGCATGTCAAAAAATCTCACTTTGAGAAAGGAAGCAAGAACTTCTCTACAATTCCTACCTTATCAAATATGGGATATTCAGCCTAAAGCGAGTGCAGGCGAACTGTTGAATCTCTTCATTACTTCCAGGTTCCTGCGAGCCAAATTGATTGCATGGGAATGCCAGAATCTCGAGGCCTGCAATAATTACAAGAATAATAAAACCATCTAGATGTTAAGAGAGCTTAAATCACACATTTATTAGGACCACCAAGGTTAGTTTATAT